CTCCTGGCCGTGACTGAGGAACGGGATCCTCTGGGACTGGGAACGGCACTCCTGGCCGTGACTGAGGAACGGGATCCTCTGGGACTAGGAAGTTTTTACAAGGAGCTGGCGCTATAGGGCGCTCTGGAGGAGTAGGCACAGCAAGGTGCTTTCGAGGAGCTGGCACTGGAGCCAACTCAGGGGCTGGCAGGCTTGACTGAGGAACCACTTGCGTGCTTGCCACATGAACGCTTGGAGGGCTTGTCACATGAGTAACTGGCGGGCTTGACTCGGGAACGTCCGGCTGACTTGAGTGAGCTGCGGCCGGTGAGCATAAGCGAGCGGCGGCCCGCGAACTTGACAGGGGAACGGCCGGCGAACTCGACAGCGGGATGGTTCTGGCTCGGGACCCCTTCTCTCCAACTTAGTCCAGTGGTGTCTGGGAGGTCCACGGGGTGATGGAAGTTGGCCCCAAGCCAGAACAGACGATTGAGGGTGGCGTCATCTAACGCCGTCGCCGCGGCAAGCTTGCAGAACTCCCCGGAGTACTCGTAGAACGGGAGATCTTGGCGGGATAGGAAGAGGAAACTAGCAGCAATCTCCATGCTGCAGGGAAAAAAACAGGAAACAAAAAACTTTTCAAAACGAAACAAAAAACTCGGGGAGTAGGCGCGCCGCTTACTTTTTAAAGGCCTGCTGTTCTGTCACGATTCGGCTACTGCTACTGTATAGGAACGAGGAATCGAGGAGACGTCGGAGTACTTCAGCATAGAACCATCTTTATTCATCCAAATAAAGAGACATAGAGGCAAGACGCACACTTAGCAGGGGGAACAGACGTTTAACAGCAGACAAAGAAACTCTGGGAAACACAGGGTTTAAATGGACAGAAACTAATGGGACACACCTTGGAACAATACGAACTAATTAATCAAACACAACCGGAGACGAATACACATGAGGAGGACAGGAACAGGAAAAACCAAATAGGGAGAACAGGAACATACACGTGACAGCGTGAGTTTCCGTTCAAACAAATAATCTTTTATTAAAGCTAAAACAGTTTACCAACAATAAATTTAAAACCAAAAATCAACAACATTAAAATGTCTTGGTCGAGAAAAAAAACAAAAAAAACAATCGTTGCAAGGGCTGAGGCTTCCTTTATGAAGAGCAGGCTAGTAGGGCGGTGTGCAAAAAAAAAGAAGAAAAATCCCACCAATCAGAGTCACATCCACAAAATTCACTGCAAATAATGACCAGAAATAGTGACACAGCAATAATGACAACCTTTTTCTTTTTTTTCTTTCTTTCTTTTATTTATTTGTACAGCGCTTTTCACGATACAAATCATTGCAAAGCAACTCTACAGCAAATTAAGTTTCTACAATATTTAGTGGTAGCTTATCAGTGGTGACTGTCAGTTAATGTACATATGGCAGAAATGTACGGAAAAATCAATTAAAGACGTAATCAAACAGACGATGAACACTATTAACAGCAATTATATGGGGTGGAGTTATATTTAATAGACCTGAGAAACATTGTTACTGTACTGAAAGAGTTCAGTAAATGTGCTTTGAATGAGGCTGCATTATGCACAGTCTGAATTTAAAACTGAAGCAATTGAATTAACAGAAAACAATGCATTACAATAAAATCTACAGGTATTAATCCTCATGGGCAAGTAGCAAATTAATATTGAGGATACAGTATGAGTGATCTAATGTTTAGGAGCCCAAACTTTAAAAATTATTTTAAATTTTTCTGGTTTAATCACGATCAGATTAAATTTATATTTTGACCTCACTATTCGGGGAACAGACACAGTCTTTATAGATTGTACAGCGCAAGTACTTCTATCATTTAAGCGGGTAGAACAAAAGTCATCAGGGCAGTTATTTGAGATTTGACTTACTAGTCATATGGAGCGTAGCGTCCTGGAGATGTTGTCCGACATGAGTTCCGCTCCAACCCTTATTAAAGTGAAGCCGGTGCAACCCAAAAACCAGCCCGCTTCCAGGAAACACTCAGCTCCTGCAAAATACAAAGAGAAAAGTAAATAATCTTAGAAAACAAACAAACCAGACATCAATATAAATAGGCAAAAAGAAATAATAATAATAATAATAAAAAAAGAAAACACATTCAAAGTCAATAAAAAAAAAATACAACAAAAACTTCAAGCCCACTTAAGCAGTGGACAAGAATGTGACGACCCAAAGCAGCAGCGTGACTCAAAGAGCGAGGGTAGGAGAGAGAGAGCTGCATTAAGGTGACTGCTCACACTCAGCCTGCCTCAACGCATGCAACGAGGACCCTAAACACAAAAGTCTGTTACAATCTCAATTTAAAAAGGCATACAAGATCTTACAAAAAAAAAGAAAGTAAACAATTTACTCACCCTATAATTAGATGACGTAACACTCACAACCACACACAAAGTCATATAGTAGCTCCTTTAGTTGGTATATTAACAGCTAGTGCTCTGACCTGGCTATTATGCTGCCATGATGCACAGATGGGAGCCTTGAAGGCACACCGCACTGAAATGCATAACTGTAGTTAAATCGAACCAAACTGCCCAAAGCACCACGAACGCACTGCATTAAAACTTACCAGAGTAAGCTGCGCACCCCACATACACAGCCTTGGTGGACCAACGTCACACTAAACAAGTAAAAATTGCATGATGTCATTGAATAACACTGGGATCAAACAGCGAAGCTACATCGCTAAAAACACATACCTCCGTAATCCACAGCAATGAAAGAAAGGGGCGGGCTTTCGACCATGACGCACTCCAGGAGGCATAAACAACAGGATTATATATACAACAGCGGAGTGATACCTCATTGGCCATGTAATTAATGATGGTGACGTTTCAGACACGTCACTAACCTCACTACATGAGCATATTTCTCTCCTGTTTCAGATGAGATGATTTTTCACTGGAGAAAGTAATATTATGGATTATGTACTTGTATTATAGCTGGAAGCAAAGGTTTCCAGTTAAAAATGTCTTGATGGATTTGTTTCTTACAAACACACAGCTTTTTGCTTCACAAGATGTTAATTGATGGACTGGAGTGGTGTGGATTACTTTATCAGCTGTTTAAACTCTCATTCTGACGGCACCCATTCACTACAGAGAATCCATTGGTGAGCAAGTGATGCAATGCTCAATTTCTCCAAATCTGTTTCGATGAAAAAACAAACTCATCTACAACTTGGATGGACTGAGGTTGATTACATTTTCTGCAAATGTTCAAATCGGGTGAAATATTCCTTTAAACCAAGATTACAAAAAACAAGCATTTGTATTTTTAAATAATGTGCTCTGAAGAATCATTCACAATAAAACCAGGAAAGGTTATTTTGATTTCATGTTGACCTTAAATTGGATCGCGATGCACTTACCTACAAAAATCCTGCAAAAAGATGCAGACTCCACCTTACTGTGTCTTTGTTTTCCAGCCTTCAAATTTATTTGGAGTGCCAGTCCAACTCCACAGTATCCCACCTGACTGACCGCACTTCCAGCCCGTGCCAGATCCTGGTCATGCAACCTGTCTCTCCAGCTCAAATCCTGATCATTCCAACTACTCGCTGCAGCTCGCCGGGTGCCCTCCAATGCCACAGCCGCTACCCCCACAGTACCTGCAACCACAATGCACCACATATCTGGATAAACACACATTACCTTTTTGTAATAAAACATCCCCATTTGGCCGTCAGATATGAATGTTCTTTTTTAGGTAGATCAAATCTCATAGGAAAGAATTACAAATGAGACATCTTTAATAGCTTAATTGTTTCTGCTAGGAAGCAATGAGATTTTTTTCCTGCATGAGAAAAGCAGCCAATTTGACTCACAGAGATCTCAGCAATGTTTTCTCAACAATGTGAGATTTGCCAAGACTCCAAATGTGCAATCAAAAGTCAAGAGATCTCGAAATGAACTCATCAAATTCTTCAAAGACCAAATATTCAGTGCTAAGCTTTCCACACTAAAAAGAAATGGGTGTAGAAAGAATTTTCTTTCAAGAATTGCTAGTAAATTTCACAAACAATTCTAAAGAAACAGCAAGTCACACCCTGAATTAAACAATTTTGAAGTATTTTCTTGTAAAACATACTCTAATAATTCATTTTTCAGACCTTACGATTTTTAGGAGAAGACAGATACCTGAAAATGGCATGAGTCTCCATGGGCTATGAAAGAGCAAATTCTGAGCAAAAGCATGTCCCTCTGGGTCAAAAAGAAGTAACTGCACAATTTCTTCAGTGGTTTGAAGGCTGTCAGTCAGGAAAGAATGAAGTGGCATATAAAAGAAAAAAGAAAAATACTATATAAAAAATCATAGTAAATAACTTTGGGGTACTGGTAATACTTTATAATAACTTTGATTAATAAATCATTAACAAATATTATATAATGCTTAAGGGATCATTAGTTAATATATATTCAAATAGCTAGAAACGTGAGATAATGTGCTTGTTAATGTTTACTAAACTTTACTTTTACTTTAATAAACATTACCTAATGATTAACAGATCATTATTTCATGTAAATTTAAATGCTTACAAAAGTCATTAAACTTTCAGTTCATATGATCATGCATAAAAATATTCAAGAGGTTTTGACAAACGGTTTACAATGAGTAAAAGCTTCATTAATAAATTATTAAAATAACATTATATAATGCTTAATGGATCATACTTACAAATATCATGGAACTTTCAATTAATACGCTCATGCACTTTTTAAAAATCTACAAATTATTTTAACAAAAAAAACATACAATCATTAAAAGCTTATTTGTGACCCTGGAGCACAAAACCAGTCTTAAGTCGCTGGGGTATATTTGTAGCAATAGCCAAAAATACATTGTATGGGTCAAAATTATCGATTTTTCTTTTATGCCAAAAATCAGGTTATTAAGTAAAGATCATGTTCCGTGAAGATATTTTGTAAATTTGCTAAATATTATATTTATTATAATATAAATGCTAAATATATCAAAACTTATTTTTTGATTAGTAATATGCATTGCTAAGAACTTCATTTGGACAACTTTAAAGGCGTCTCAGAGTTTAGATTTTTTTGCACCCTCAGATTCCAGATATTCAAATAGTTGTATCTCGGCCAAATATTGTCCTATCCTAACAAACCATACATCAATGGAAAGCTTATTTATTCAGCATTCAGATGATGTATACATCTCAATTTTGAGAAATTTACCCTTATGACTGGTTTTGTGGTCCAGGGTCACATTTGTTAATGTACTTTTGAATGCTAACAAATGACATTAAACTTCAGCTCATATATTACCTAATGCTCCTTTTTACATTTACAAATGTTGTGAAAAATGAGCTTAATTAGTCATTTTAAGCACTTCACAAACTTTTCATGGTATCATATTATTCATTAATGCATAATCACAGTCTGTAAACGTCATATATTTGGTCTTCGTTTGTTGTGTAGACTTCTACTATTTGCACATATAATATCAATTATTAATCATTCGTGTTTTTGCAGTACCCAATCTGGTGGAAACTATATTCATTATTTGTAAATGTTTACTAGTCATTAGTACCTCTATGAGCACTCATCTCAATGGCAAAAAGCGTTTCAACTCCCAAATGACCTGAATTCACCCTATTTACACATCTTAACAAATCATTTATTAATTATTTGTTAATGTTCTGCAGTACTAGTTGAAACTACTCATCATCTGTAAATGTTTATAAACGTTTACTAATCACTAGTAACTTCATGGGCATTGGACTTTTAGCTGCTGTAACAACTTTTGTGTAAAGGGTGGTTAGTTAGTACATTTAGTACATTAACAAATAAGCTTTTAATGATTGTATGATTTTTTGTTAAAATCATTTGTAGATTTTTAAAAAGTGCATGAGCGTATGAATTGAAAGTTTCATGATATTTGTAAGCATGATCCATTAAGCATTATATATTGTTTGTTAATATTTTATTAATGAAGCTTTTACTCATTGTAAACCATTTGTCAAAACCTCTTGAATATTGTTATGCATGATCATATGAATTGAAAGTTTAATGACGTTTGTGAGCATTTCAATTTACATGAAATAATGATCTGTTAATCATTAGGTAATGTTTAATAAGTACATTAGTAAACATTAACGAGCACATATCTCATATTTCTAGATATGTGAATATATAATAACTAATGATCTGTTAAGCATTATATAATATCTGTTAATGATTTATTAATGAAAGTTATTATAAAGTGTTACCTAATGCGGTACTGTGTAAACAAAGTTGAGAATGTGTTGTCATGTTAAAATTCATTGAATTTATTCACTTCCCAACCTATAGCACAACGTTTTTCATGCAGGACATTTGCAGCTTGTTATTAAATTGAAATTTTGTTTATAATCTGCTCTGGTAAGATTAAGAGTCATAAAGTATCAATCTGATGTTTTTGAGCCATAAAAGAGCCTTAGCGTCTCTCAGCTACCAAACAAAACATAAGGGTTAACGGAAGCACTTTAATCTTTAACAGACTATCCTCAGACTTCATGGAAATATAAGCTATATTTGCCAAATTGAAACATAAATTATAAATAATGTGTAGTAAAAAAAATGTAAATAAAGTTAATCAATATTGAATTAGCAGATATGCAAAGAGTTCAATTTCTTACCTCACTGGATACACAATGATAATACATTTCTGCTTGTTATTTTGGACTTCTATTATATGACCCTCCAAAATATGCACAGAAAATAGTGACGGGAGGTTAAACCGACACAAGTGACTCACATGGATGCCAAACTGATCAGGTTATTTTTGAGGACATCACGTTTCTGACAGCTTTAACCTAGTGTGACTGTGAGGTGAAATAATGGGATAATAATATTAGATAATAATAATAACAGAAAACAATAAGAGCTCATTGAATATTTGACCTTCCGCAAATTGCTTAGCGTCTTACCGTGAAAGTGAGTGCTGAAAATGGAATTTGGAAACGTTTAATAACACACTGCGAGAAGATTAATTGCCATTAAAGCTTATTATATCAAGAACTGCTCAATTTCCTCTGAGCTCGGACACAAATGAGAGACACAAAAGTAGCTGTTCTTATTCACCTTGACATATTAAATGTCCACATTGAAAAGGACTCAATCAAATGGACGTGTCCTGGGGGTAAGAGAGCTTTGTGCTGTATGTCACAGAGTTTCAGCTTTCTTCTGTGCTGAGGTGACCTTCTGAATGACATAAAAATGGCAATGTCATAAAATGACATAATAATAATAATAATAAAAATTGTAAATTATTGTAATAAAATTATATAATTAAAATTGTATAAAATAGTATATATATAAGACATTACATATAAATTACAAAAACAATAAAATATTATGTTATTATAAAATATACAATTTCTGTGCTGAGGTGACCTTCTGAATGACATAAAAATGGCAATGTCATAAAATGACATAATAATAATAATAATAAAAATGGTAAATTATTGTAATAAAATTATATAATTAAAATTGTATAAAATAGTATATATATAAGACATTACATATAAATTACAAAAACAATAAAATATTATGTTATTATAAAATATACAATGATTCAATATTTTATATATTAAATAAGAATATAAAAATAAACCCTGATCATATATATATATATATATATATTCCTTTTTATTTGATTTATATAAGATTGTAAGTTCACATAAGCATTAAGTTCATAAGCAGACGTTCACAGTCCCATATGTGGTTTTAATACCAATTTAAAAAT